CGTTGGGATGCTCATTGATGCGCTACCCTTTGAAGAATTGTAGGACTTACAGCAGTACGCCTACAACCCTTCTCAGGTTGACGCCCTATGTTGGAAAACCGTCGCACAGTTCATTTGCTGACCCCTTTCCATCACCTATTTCCTCAAATCTGGACGGTAACACGCTCATGTCATTGTATCGTAGAATATAGATGACCAACAAACACACGACATATCTCATCAACCAAGTGTAGAAACAGAGTAATTTACACCAAAGATAATAACATTCAAATAGTAACTTGAAACTAGAAATGCCTTTATTCGTGCAAGTCAATTTAACAATTACTCTCTCGTTTACACTTGGCTTATCCTCACTAAACTGACCAATATCTTTCGTCTTTTCAAATGCACCAATACTATCATAGTCATTGCACAAGATACTTGAGTTGATGGGCGTCTGTTTCATTGTGGATGACAACACCAACGACGACTGATTGATATCAGTTGATGAAGTTAGCGGTGGATCAGAAACTGTTGTTGCTCGGCTCTCAGAAATTTGTCTAACAGCAAGACTACCACCACAGCAGCCTTTCACTGTTAGCTACGGTTTAGCATTATCATCTGATGATAGATGGGCTACAAGCTGATCAGTTAAACTGACGGACTAAAACGTACGCAAGCCTTCTGCAAATGCATCTCCATTTAGCTCTACTTCCCCTTCAAGTTGTACAGAAGCATTTTTCAATATAGCAATATTACCCATATCCCTCATCTCATCATGATCAGCAAAAGACAAATGCGAAGTATCATGATCATTATCACCAATATTCACTTTACTGTCGATTTCATCATTTTCAAACTCTTTATTAACAGCGGTGGATGATTTGGGTTCCTCCTCACAAATCCTTAAAGGTTTTATACCTTCACTCTGACTAGTAATACCTTGTAAACTTATGGGTCAGAACTGCACTCCGAAACTGTAACTCTCCTCTGTGACACTCGCTTCAACAATGGCTCACCAGTTATATTTACAGGTTAATTGACCACGCGGTTATCGCCACAAAAGTCGGAATCACACCTTGATTTCACATTTAGCTTGTCACTGAACTTGCTCACTGATTCACAGTTCACCTTTGTATGCACCTCCTGCAAACGTGTAAAACACAACCGTGTTTGTCTTGCATCTTGTAACTTATCTGTTGAGGATGTACTACGAAACCTGTTACATTCACTAAGTCTATATGCATTATTAGACATCATGGAGCCTTCTCAATATCCACCTCTCTGAAACCCTTTCGTCATCAATGATTGCGTTTTGCTCTCAGACCGCTCTATTCTACGGGTGAGATTCAATATACTGACGAACTTCCTCAAAGATTGATTGAAACTATCGTTTACCATTTTCAGAATATCTTCGAACTTTGTATCGATACTCTCTTTCTCTGAACGAGAGGTTATCTTCACCCACTTCCTTTGCAGTCGAGTAGGTAGGCGTCTTGCTATTACTTCTAGTATAAAACTCGAGTTGAGGTCACTCATGCGATTCATCGAAATCATTCCATTCTTGTAAATTAGCAAATTATCTAAAAACTCAGTGAGTGCCTGGGAGTCATCCTGTAATTGACCACAATTACCCTTAACAGCCTCGAATAATTTCCCTACAATCATCGAAGGTCTTCTAAACCTATGACGTAGTATGCTCATAGCCTCGTAGTAGCCATCTTTTGGCTTCATGAACTTACGGCACTGTATAGCTCTTGAAGCATCTCCAGTGCAATATCTCATCAAATACATCAATTTCAATTCATCACTTAATAGAAAACTACTCAGCATGATCTCAAACTCCTTTACAAATTGTAAATAATCAGCCGGGTTTCCATCGAAACACCGTGGTTCAAATTTAGTGAGTTTGATGTTCCTATTATCCCTGAACGGCGAAACAGTAACATCAACCATGTCATGCTTAACATCAGACACATCGCTACAATTAACAGACAAGTCAACATGACTTACTTTCCTGTTTGCATCCAAGACGCTCTGTCCCATCTTTGACCCAGGCATTGTTGAACTTGACCCAATTCCAAAAAAGTTCCAGATATTGCTTGTTCAAAGAGGACTTGACCGGCACCAGGAAAGATGAATGGTGACTATCCAAACTTTCACCAACTGTTTGAATCCGCCAAAGTCTGTTTCTACCATCAGAAACTGTCAGTCACGTCTCATAAACTGTTAATGCCCAGCTCTTGCTACGCTGGGACTCACGCTGTCCCTCGAAGCTTCTCAGAAACGCTTAGTAATAACGGACGCAAAAACCAAAACACCGATTAGCTACTCGAGAATTCATTATTGTAACACCAACGTATAGCCAACTTTAAAATTAAGCTTTAAAACTAAGGTTTGTGACGGCTTTGTCCTGACTTCTTTCTGAACAACGACCGATGAGACGATGGCTTGTGTATTGATGCCTCTGCGATAATTGGGGATGTTGGTTTGAGCAAACAACCATGAATTGATCGTTCAATCTTCAACTACATTGACAACATTATTGGAAGTGTATTTACAAGAAAAATAGAAGAATAAGCCATACAGTCCTTGAAATGATAGTACACATTTCGATGTATGATGCTAACTATATTGGTCTTACCATGGAAAACTATGTCATTTTCGATGAAAATATAGTTATTCTCAAACAGGAGTGTTGTGGCTATGCTTTTTCTAATCATCAGAGCAACCAAACTTTATGCGAGAGAAGAGTGTGCATGAGAAAAATAGAGTAAATGTCAACTTTATTAAGGGCCTGGGGAGTTCAGATAAAATAGAGTATAATAGTAATTAGATAAAAGGATTGCCATGAAGTATACAAGTGACATTTCAGAGAGAAGTGGCTTGAAGGGTTAGAACCTGTTGGATATGGCGACCTGTAAGATGTCTGGCGAACTTGTGTATGGCCCATGGGGTAGCATCTTGACAAGAAGCTGAGCAGACTTGTAGATGTTAGGAGCAAAAGCATTATTTTTTATAATTTATTTTGTAATTTAGATCTGTGCAGCCATTATTGTTTTGGTTGTTTTTTAATTTTCTTGAAGTTAATTTTTTTATACTGAGGATCTGAACTCATGTTTAATTTTCGATTGCCGGAAAAATGCATGTTGCTGTCCTACAGATAGGATTGATTCACATTTGTGTCCACTACCAAATCTGCTGATCAGCATGCGCCACGCTCCCTCCCTTTTGAAATTAAGCTCTGAGACCTTTCACAATGATTGCAGTTGTAATATTGCACTGCCTTAACCCCGTCCCAATCATACAGTATGCTGCACATTATCAGCTTTCATGACAAGTGCTTCCCGTTGGGTCACAGGACACAACAATACCAGAGGACATTCTTAGCAGTATTATCATCATGCTAGTGAACAATTGGATTACTACAAAAGACTAGAAAATTGAATTTCCCTCAAGAGTCATAAAGTATGAAAATAGATAGTATTGGAGCAACTAAATTATATTCTGTTTATCAGTGATATGAGTAGTGGAACAATTAGTGATAAAGGTATACAAAGTGCTCCTGAGAAAAGCAACTGGTTAGCAGAACTTATTATGCTAAATATTCATGGCCGATTTTATATGGTGCGCGTTACACATTGTAACCTTGGACGTTGACTTTATCGATCTTAGTAAAGCATTCGACAAGGTGTCCCATTTAGGTCTTCTTAGTAAATTCAAATACTTTGGATTAGACCAGCGCTTATAAAAGTGTTTTAGCGACCACCTGATGGATAGAAGGCAGAAGTTAAGGGTTAATGGTGTACTGTCAGGGTGGAAAGCAGTACGAAGTTTAGCACCTCTTGGAACTGTAATTGGTCCCCTGCTATTCCCATTATACGTAAATGAAGTGCCAAAAATTCTTACCTCATCTTCCATACTATTTGCGGCCTATATTAAGATATGGAAAACCGCTAATAGTAACGATGAAAGGTTGGTGCTACAAAATGATGTGGATAAATTAGCTGAATGAGCTAACGTCTGAAGTCTGGAAATTAGTTTCAAGAAAAGCTTGGTAATAAACCAAGGTCAGAGGTCTTGCACCTCGTACTCCCTAGAGGACACAGAACTGCCACATTTTAAAGGACAAAAGGATTTACGAATTATTGTAAGCCATGACCTGAAGACAACGGCAAATGGTAATGGGGTCACAGCTAAGTCTTTTCGAATGCTCTGCGCACTTCGAAGTGCTTACAAACGATTATCAAGCCGAAGGAAGAGAGGCGACCTAATTTTGGAATACCGTATATTAAAGGGCGATTTAAAGATTGACATTTCAATCTTTTCTCTCCCTCTAGGATACATTTACGAGGTCAGCACAAGAAGGTGCTCAAACCAAGATCAGACAAAATACAGTTTGGAATGTAGTTTCTCTCACAGAGCGGCCAACTACAGCAACTCCTGACGTGGTTCATTAGTAACAGCTCCATCGGTGAACAATTTCAAAGAGAAGCTAGATCTCTACAGAGGTTTATATCTCAAGGATTGAGACAGGCAACAAAAGACTTCAATCCTTATAATCTGTGCGTCGGTGGCACAGTGGTTAAGACTCTCGCCGACCATGCGCATGGTCCGGGGTTCGATCCCCTGCTGATGCACAACTGATATCTATGGTCGGCCTGCAAAATTTGGGCTACCGATATCACATGCTGAAATTCCATACCTTTACCCAAAAATACGGTGTGGAATCAAGATGTAATATAAAAATCTGAATCTGGGTACGTCAAAAGTAGAGGATAGACTTTGAATCAGCGTAAAGAAACTTAACATCGTATGCAAAAGTGTTTCGGTCTTTATCAGATCAGTAAGTTAATATAATCTAGTAACAATAGTGTGGTGTATGTAGACTTTAATATATTTTTAAGTTCTACAGACTGAAGTGGAAACTGAAACTGCAGCGTGCTCACCGGCGGGGATATGAATTATCTCAACCTCTAGGTCAAAGTCTACTGTTTTAATGTGCACACCAAAGTTTCATCATGAACAAGTCAGAACGAGTAAGTCATACAGGCGAATTTAACTAAGTATGTTGTATGTTTTAGTCCACATGGAAGTCATTGCAGTATGGATGCGTTAGTGGAGTAATTAGTACAATAATTTGTCAACCGTTGGATGTCATGAAAACACGTTTACAAACCAAAGTTGTTTTTGGGTAATTTAAAGGACATGGTTTCTTTCACCAACTTTGATCTATTTTGGCAGTGGTCTTTTGACTACACGTCTTGTGAAAGCGGCTCGTCGAGAAATTGAATCTGAATATATCCAATATCGTTTTTACGAGCTAGTATAAACCAATTTGATTGATTGTGAGGTATATGTTCCTGATCTTCGGTAAACTTCTGCGTAGCTCGTCCCGCCACTCGACTGTCGTAGCTTTGGTTGACTCCAAAAGGAGTAGTGCTGGGATTGATTATATGTGGTTTGTAGTGTGAGGTGTTTTAAGACTGTTACTACTGTGAGCGGAGTTGATCCTTTCACCAGTTAGTCCTCCAGTGTCGTCGTCAAAAGAAAAGAGATGATAATAACAATAATAGATATAATTAATGGAGTTATTCAGGCTAACAGACAGAAAAAGAAATAAGAAAACGTAACAACAGTCAGCTGATTAAATTTGAAGAATAATATGAATAATATATACATATATATCGGTATTAATGATAATAATAGGTGTAGTAAGTAAGTAAGACGGGAGAGAATGTAAAGATATTGGATATTGGAAGTAAAACGACAAGTTTAATTGTCTACCTCTGAATGGTGTATGCGATTTTAAGGGGATAGGCCATTTGGATGCAGTCCTTGTGTAACTGCATGGTTGTCCAGCCTTCGCTTAAAGGCGTCCAAAGACGGTGCCATAGCTACATCTGCCGGTAAAGAATTCCAGGGACGGCAAACCCGCAGTGAAAAGAAGTGGGAGTGCACCCGGGTCCTTGCCCTCTGGTGAGCTATCCTTCTGGGATTTCCACGTGGGAGCTTATACGTACTCAATGGCAGAACACCTTTGTTTGTGTGATTCTGGATATTTGTTATATTGTAGGCAGTAATCAATTCCCCCGTAAGCCGACGGTAGCTAAGTGTGAACAGGCCTAATTTCTTCAGCCTTTCATCATATGGTTTGTTTTGGAGACCAACCACTCCTTTTGTTGCCCGTCGTTGGACTCTTTCCAAGAGGTTGGCGTCTCTTCTAAGCATTGGGGATGCAATAATTTTATGCACTTCAAGGTGTGGTCTGACGTATGTTTTGTACAACCTTAGAAATAGCTCAGGAGTGAGTGCACCTAACTGTCTATGCATAAAGTGTATGACCGCATATGCCCTCGCTACATCCCCCCGTGTAGTTTACGCTTGTGTCCATTTTCTCTGTTAGAACTAGACCTAAGTCGCGTTCCGACGTTGTGCAGGACAAGCTTTCATTGCACAGAGTAACTTGCATTCTGCAGTCTACAGGTGAGTAACTTTACTACTTTGCACTTTTTCAGGTCGAAAGTCATGCCACTGGCCACCGCCCAGTCTTCCAGAAGGTTTAGGTCTTCCTGTAGCCTATCTGAGTCCTTCAGACACTTTATCGCCCTCCATATCTTTACGTCATCAGCGTAAAAAATAGTTGGGCAGCTTAGACGGCATGGTAGATCATTGATGAAAATCAAAAACATCAGTGGTCCTAGGATAGAACCCTGCGACACTCCCAATGACTAGCTGTACCAAGATGATCGGACTCGATTGACCTTAGTGCAAAATTGCCTTTCAGCTAGGTAGTCCTTTAACCATGACAGAAGTGGCTTGCCTATACCTGCCTGGCTTATTTTATGTAGGAGAAGGTCATAGTGAACAGTGTCAAATGCCTTCTCAAAGTCTAGGAAGACCACATGGACTGGAACATTCATATCCCAGCATGATGTACCATATATATATATATATATATATATATATATATGGAACATCATTGAAATTCTGTTGAAATTACGGGATATATAGAAGATTGAGAAACGTAGGATTTAGTTTCGTAGTCTTCTCACAGTTCTCCACATCTCATCCAAAAGTTACTCCATACCTCATTTTTCGTACGTGTTCCTCGTATTGTAAGGATATCACATTCCATTTAGAATATGTTTTCAATAAAGTTATTTTAATTTAAAAGTTTCTCCGACTGGGTCATTTCGTTGTAGATGTATTCAGGGTCTCTTTGGATTTCAAGGAAAACCATAAGAATACATAAACTTGGTGGGGCGAATACATGTAAATTATTTCTCTTAGTCATCTTGATTGCTTTTATTTTCTGCATTTATTCCTCATAATCTGTCGTTAGGAGGTACTCAATGAAAATTACTTTTAATCTCAATTTCTTTCCTTGATAACCCTTTTCTGTACCTCATCCATTTCAACATCACGTCCCTAAAAGTCATGTTAATCGACTTCTTTTGTGTAGTCAAGTTTATGATAGAAGGAATATTGGCTCTCATTTGATCAACCAAAAAGGAATCTAGCAGAGCTCAAGGAGCTTGAAGAGCTGCAACTTTAACCTTGATTACTGTCAGATTACGTCAAGTAGTCAACTTCCATATTTGAAATCTATGTTTGGTACCATGTTGACGAATGTATTAGAACTAATCGACAAGATGTTGCTAAAAACAGTTTACCCTTTTATCTTGTATTTATAATGCCCTTTTCCATAATTGGTGTTTGTACATATATAAACGGTGCTTATTTACAACGGTTGTATGGATGCATAATAGCATTCTGCAAATTTTGGTTAAAAAGTTCAGAGCGTTATTTGTATGCTATTAATTGCATAAACAGCAATTAGCTTTTGTTTGCGTTTTATTGTATGTAATTATTGTTATTAAGGTTCCCTTGGGTTCTAAGTGGAACGTAGGGCTCTATCAGCACATCTTGATTTTGTCTTATTCCTCGCAGTCCCATTTAGCTGGCCCAACAGTTGCCCATAGTCCCTCATCTCCTCCATATCACTGTCGGGTCCCGCTTGAGAGCTAGCCTGGTGCTCAATGTCACCTAACTGGTCTCCTCAGTGTGTTCCCGATCCGTTTCCATTTTATTTGTCATATTTATTGAGCAATAGGCTCTTGGTTAGTTGGATCCTAAAGTTCCTTGTTGGTTGTTTCTTTCCGGCTAGCTATTTGAACTTCAGTGTGGAGCCATCGAAGGCAGCTGTTAATAAGTCTACAGTGGCCTGTTGTAAATGCTTTCGTGACATGCGCGCGTCAAATTTCTCACCCATATATAAAAAGTGACTAACTTGGTGTTGAAAATCTGAAACTTGTTCTTTATGCTGAATGAGTGTAGCAGATTTCGAGACTTATTTCAGAGTGATGAAGGTCTGTGTTACTTTTCCGATCCTGGTTTTGTCATCCTCATCCGTGCAGACTGCCTGTTGTTGAAAAGGTGCTGCCTCGATAGGACAATGAAGTGACCTCTTTCAAATTTCTTTTGTTGATATTATATGTAATATTATAGTCTTATATTGAGACCTAATTTGAATCATATAAAGGATTAAATGTGAAGCGTTCTTATCTCTTTTGGTCAAATAAAATAAATTGAATTTTCGCATTCTTTTTTTTCTAGTTGGGTAAATTAACTTTAACTGTTCATCACTGTTTCAGATTGCCTCCATTGGGAATTGTACAAGCTATGGGACAAGTTTACTCAACCAATTCTACAATCACTGGTGGTTCCACATCTTTACCACGTGTTGTACAAGTTTGTGGGAGATTGGGAAATTTTTGGACTGGAACATATCCTTCTTTGTGGCGTTGTGTTCCGGGAGTTGGTGCTTATTTTATGTGCCTTAATGCTTTGCAAGATGTAACAGATAGGTTAGTATGTACGGGCTATTGACGTATTATTAATTAGCGTCTTTAAAATAAGTAAAGTAACAGAAAGTGGTGGAACATTTTTTTATTATTCCTTTACGTTCCCAGTGGAACATAGGGCTTCAAGCTAGAGGCTTGATGTTTCTGTAGCAGTGTTTATTTTTACAGGATGGTTTTGGTAGCCTCATGCCCAACCTTTTCCTCTTTACCAGCATTATTTCTGGCTTAGCGAGGTAACGGAGTGCGTCGGCTGGGGATCGAACCCCGGACCATGTGCATAGTCGGCGAGCATCCTAGCCGCTATGCCACCGACGCACTGGTGAAACAGTCGGTTAATTAATATTGGTTGAATGCTTTTCCTTCGAATCTGCCCACAGCATCTGTATGGTACTTGTGAGTTTGGCGAAGGTAATAAAATCAATCGGTACTTTGATTGGACCCTTACTAGTGTCATGCATCTAGCCCTTTGTTTAGTGCAGACCGAATCCTATCAGTTAAGTTTGCAATGTGGCCACCATGCCACTGGGTGGGTGGCTCTTCATCACGGTGCACTCAGAATTGCTGATATTTTTTGGTTGGAAGAGATCGGCAGAAAGCCTTGAACTACCTAGGTTTCGTATTTGTTAGCGCTGGTTGACACAAGTTCGAATCTCAGATGGGACATGAGTTCCTTTAACGATTGCAGATGCGCCTTGCTGACTAACTGGTGAGTGCCAACAAGCATGAAATCTAGGTGAGGTAGGGCTTCCTTCCAATTGCCTCCAACCACCTAATAATAACAACATCAATCAGTTTTAATAAACAAGGAACGAACATATTCACAGGATAATACGAGCTCATTTTATTTCGTGGATTCTCCTCAACTGCCTACATGCTAGACAACAAAATTAATTATATGTTACAAAATCCTGTCTGGACATCTTACAATGATTTCAAGTTATAGATAGAAAGTATAAGCAACATAATAATTTCAAAGATGATGTAAGGAGACAGTTATGTAGTGTTAAAATAGTGACTATTTATATAATTCCATATTAGTTTGTTTATTAGATGTATCACACAGTGATTGAAACAGTATTACTATTTACTGGATGACGCTTCAAACAAAATTTATTGTTCATAATCATTTCATCAATTATAATCACACGAATTCGAAACTTCAGTTTTATAGTCTTCTTTGTTCCCTCCTATTTGTTGTTAGAGTTGTAGAATTTTCCAGATATCTGGGTGGACAGGTGTTGAATCATGCCTGTTACACGTACTCTCTTCAGTTCATTCGATAAACAAAGCCTCTGTTACCAATCTCTCCCTCAACCCTGTGACATTGGATTTTAAAAATGTCATCTTATCCCACCCATCCTATTGTACTGTTGTGTGTAATTGCATGTAGTGAGTGCTGGAGCTGAACTATTCTCTAGATTTCTTGTCTTATTCGGGTCAACTAATCTACATTTCGCTGCTAGGTTTTTATGTTCGGCTAATCTGACTATTCCTGTTCTACTAGTTTGACCTATTTTTTTGACTTGACAATCATTCCAGCAGGGTATTAGACAAACTAAATTGTTCTGTGTTAAATGTTGCACAGGATCCCCCTTTTAACCGACAAAGCTTGTTTCTAACTAAGTATGTGGGTGGTTTGAATGCCATTTTATTGATGCCGTGTTAAGAATTCTGCGTAAGGTTTCCGAGGCTCCTACCTTGCTTGGAATTACTACTGATGATTTAGATTCCTTATTGTTGGTGTTGTGATTATCTTGCGCATGTCTAACATGCATATCGTCATTAATATTATTATTATTATTTATATCACTGTCATTATTTATTTTATTTTTAAATTTCTACACATACTTTCTGACTAATTTATCAGGGTAATTATTAATTAATTTTCAAAGCTTCTCTTATATACCTCATTTCCTGTCTTAGATTTTCCTTGGTACTACTTAGTTTTTGTGCTCTGTCACTTAAACATCTCACCAATCCTATTTTTACTGACATAGGATGGGATGATCGGAAGTCCAAATATCCGTTTGAACGTGTGGGTTTCTTGTAAACACTAGTGTTTAACTTCCCATCTTCTTTCCTTTTTAAGTTGCAATCTAACATTGGAAGTTCCCCTTCCTGACTTTCCAATTCATAAGTGAACTGAATTGCCTCTACCTTCGAGTTGATGTGTTCCAAAAATCTATCTGTCTAAGTATAGTGAATGTGTCATCTACATACCTCCAACATACTTTTGGGGTGGGGGTGAACTTTTCAATCGCTGTGCTTTCCCACCTATCCATGAATATATCTGCTACAACCGGGGATATTGATGATCCCATGGCAACTCCCTCAGTTTGTTTTGTTTATTTTCCCTTGGAATTTAAATACTGTGGAAGTCAAGCATAGCTGCACTCCCGGTATTATGTCCTCAAGTGGCATTTTTGTCCTAAGTTCGAGTTCTTGGTCAGAAATGAGTTCGTTTCTGACCGCCTCTATAGCCATATTTATTGGTATACGTGTATATAAACTGACAATGTCAAAACTAACCATTTTCTCTTCATTATCTAATTTTAAATTATCTGATCTGTGTTTTAGTTCATAAGAATGAATTAGTCCAGATTTCGAGTGGCTTTTAAGGGGATTTAATACCATGGCTAAATATTTGGATAATTCATATGTAGGTGAATTTCTAAAATCAACTATAGGCCTAATAGGGTGTCCTGACTTATGAACTTTAACAACACCATACATCCTACTGGAGTTATTAGTTTTGGGCATTAAATTAAACCACTTAGACTCACCTAGAAACGGCTTCATTCGGCGTATAAGGTCCGCTGTGGATTTCTTAACTTAATTCATAACTCTGTCTATTGATTTATTAATTTCCTCATATGGTCCTGTTTGTATGTTAGTATTCACCTTGTCCAAATAGTCTAATTTGTCTAATACTACTGTTGCATTTCCTTTGTTTGACTTTGTGATTACTATATCCTTGTTATTCTTAAGGTATTTTAGGGCTTCTGTCTCTGGTTTTGTCAGGTTAGGCTTTCCACTTTTTTGTCGTTTTAATGTAAATGCACATTGTGCCCATACTTCGTCATTCGTTGTTTTGTCTATCCCACTTAGTGCTATTTCTATTTTAGGGATGACATCCAGTAAATAATACTTTTTCACTGACTGTGTGATACATCTAATAAACAAACTAATATGAAATTACTTACTACTACAGTGCCCAAGCTTTACACATATTAATATGATTATTTATATTGTAATTAGTCAAAGGGGTGGAGTTCTGATTTCTTTTGTAAACAGGAATGAACTAGAGACAAAATACCAGATAGAACCACAGAGTTAATTTATGCATTTTATGATGGAGAGTTCAGGAGAGTTGGGGTGAATAGTGAAGTAGAATTATAAAATAGATAAAATAATTTAATTTATTAGATTCGGAACCTTAATAGTGAGTCAAAATCAATATCAAGATTGATTGGAATATTACTGAACAGAACAAAACACAGAAGAACACGAACAAATTGACTCTATTGTTGTATCTTGTATTTTGTCTCTTGTTCTTCCTGGTTTCTAAGCGAAATCAGAATTCCACCCCTGTGTCCAATTACTACATAATTAGTTATTGTCTTTTAACACTAAATAATTGTCGGTAGACTTACATTATCTTTTAAATAATGTTGCTTATCCTTTGTATATCCATAACTTGAAATCATTGTAAAAAGTATGTCTAGACAGAATTTTGTAACATATCATTGATTTTGTTGTTTAGGATGTAGACAGTTGAAGAGAATCCATGAAATAAAACGTGCTGGCATTATCCTGCCTGGAAATATGTTCGTTCTTCCTTTAATTCAAACTAATAAAGGGAACCGGCTCTATGAAATTAAATTTAGTACAGAGGGAGAGTATTTCTCTTCGTTCAGTGTAATAAATATATCCTTTCATGTGGATACAGTTGTATCTAAATAATAAAAATTATTTATCATTTAATTGATGGATGATGACTAGCAATGGAATCCAGGATAACGCACATTTCGTCCTATTTGGGACTCGTCATCCGGACGTACCTGCATTCCCCAGTGTGTGGTGATTTTCCCACCACCGAAGCTCGAACCCAGTGCCCATAGTTTCAAACGGCAAAGCAGGTTATCCACTAGACCACTTGGGCCATGAGAGCCACCATCCACCAATTAAACACACTTGTATTAAATTCTAATTACATGCCCAGACATCGTTGAAGCATCTGCACAAGAAGCCGACATGTCAACCTAAGACCGAGCACTTCAGTCCAATCAGTCGACGAGAAAATCTAAAATTCAATTAAATTATTTATTGTCCTCTGATTTGACTGGTAATTTCTTCCATGCATATCTCTGGTATTTGTGTTGAGTCATTCCTATTGGATGTGTTGGGTGAAAATTCGATGAACCAGGCAGGATTCAGTAATCAGTCTCTCTCTCGCTTTGCACCTACCCATATTACTTTTTAGAATTTTGACTCTATCCCACCCACCCTATTATGTAATTGTGTGTTGATGCATGCAGTGCTATAACTGAGTATTTTTCCCTGAATTACTCATCTGTCTTGGAGGGATCAATCATTCTAACCTTAACCACTAAATTCTTATGTTCTGATAATCTCACTACTCCTGATCCACTAGTTTGACTCATGTAGTTGACGTCACTCACAGTCATTGCAAAGTATTTTGTAAATTATATTATTTTGTTTAATTGGGCCAACGTACAGAGTCCTTTAGCCTACAGAGGTTGTCCTGCCTGAGTGAGTTTGTAGGTTTAAATGCCACCCTAATTCCTGCTTTGTTGAGAATCCTACGTAGGGAGGGTCTCGGATGTCCTTTCCTTATATGGTAAAACTGCAGTTAGATGCCTAATATTTTTTCTTGTTTATGTTATCATTATTAGTTGCATCATTATTTTTATTTTGCTTATGACCTTTGTTGATCTTCCTAATGAATTTTATAGGATAGTTAGCTATTTAACACCAATGATTCTTCTTCTATTTGTTTCATTTCATCGTTTAGACTTTTTTGTTGTACTACTTAGTAATGTTGTTGCTCAGTTTGTTAGACAGACACTTAACTAAGCCTGCCTTCACAGATATATAGTGAAGGAGATGAATTAAAGTCTAAATATCTACTAGCAAAATGCGTTGGCTTTTTATAAACGTTAATGTGTGCAGTTTACCCTCTTATTTTCGTTTTATTCTACAACCTAACATAGCTAATTCTCTTTTTGTTCATTTTCTGATTCGCTCTACATTTGATTATTTCTTAGATGGAATATCCTAACGCCTACTACTGCATACACACCGAAAACTGCTGTCAAATCGTTCATGTTAGCGTTTACAGCTCGTGTATCGTAGCCTTCTGTTTAGATCCATTTGTTGTCATTAAAACTCAATTGGAATCTGGTCTTCATTTAGAAGATCGTAGAAGTATGCTACGTACATTCCAGAGAATTTATTCTTCAGCAAAATGGAGAGGTATGTTCATTAGTGTGATAATGTGTAAATTATACATGCAATTTATTTAAGGAACAAAATTGATCTCAAGGTTCATTGTTAAAAGTTTAATACCCTATATGTAGTATTTATTTTTTTGTGGAGAAATCATCAATCGATTATTGTCAAGAAGAAGTGGATGAATTCCATTATGGATAAAATTTTATTTTGATACAAATCTCACAGTTAGAAAACAGAAAGATTGAACGAAGAAATATTTACTTTTCAATTAGATCCTCATCTCTGGCTCTACTCTAATATATATAGCATTTCTATTACAATACACAACAGTTTGCCGATCAAGTGGCACTGATATGTTTGTTAACAATAATTAAACAGTGTCGAAATGTCAATGCGACGGGTGATAATTAACGAAGAAAATCAATACACACAAGTAAAAGGTAGAAATGGTTAGAATAAATTAATTTTACAAGGATAACAAGTGAATTAAAGATGAAGTGGTCAAAATAAATAAAAATAAAATAAATAATTTAGACAGTTATAATTTTTATAGGTTTAGGGAGAAGGGGGCGACGTAGTCCTGTTTATTTTTTTTAAATTTTTTTTTGATTTACAGCTTGATTCCACACTGTATTTTTGGTACAAGTATGGAATTTTCAGCATGGATATCGGTAGCCCAAATTTTGCAGGCCGACCATAGATATCAGGTGTGCGCCAGCGTGGGCTCGAACCCCGGACCATGTGCATGGTCGGCGAGAGTCCTAACCACTGTGCCGCCGACGCACACGCCGTCGTGCTTCAAGTTCACTAGTTATAATTCAGTCAATACAATACCTGACTAAGGGACTTAAATAGTATTTCATCGTAAAATGGGGTCGATTACTAGATTACCTGACTGCTGACTGACAACCCTCTGGCTTAGAGTTTTAATTTTAAAGACAGGCATTCTGTTAGCATGCTCTGAAACGACAACGATAGACCCAGTAATGTAATACATTTTTCACGGAAGTTTGAAGAAAATGAATAAAGAAAACTTATGCATTCTTGTGACGACGGCCACGGTAGGCAAGGTGGCTGTACACATTTTTTCTGTACACATAAGCTTGGCTTCTTCAGGTGAATTCCGATTGCTTCAGCTGTCTGTAGAAGACGAACTCGCAGAGCAAAATTAAGATAAGTCGGAATGCGATAAATAATTTTAAATGCAGTATTCACATCAATCTTATGCTCAGTATCAACGAGCTGGGCTAAAGTAGAACTACGAATAGATCTTTTTTGTCCCTTGCTTAACCACGTTGGATGATGTTGAGAAATACGACGATGAACTTGCCTAATTGTACGCCCAATGTAGCTGGCTCCGCAGCTGCAGTCAAACTTCATCTTTAATTTACGTGTTATCCTTGTAAAATTAATTTATTCTAACCATTTCTACCTTTTACTTGTGTGTATTGATTTTCTTCGTTAATTATCACCCGTCGCATTGACATTTTGACACTGTTTAATTATTGTTAACAAACATATCAGTGCCACTTGATTGGCAAACTGTGTGTATTGTAATGAAAATGCTATATACATAACATATTAGAGTAGAGCCAGAGTGAGATGAGGATCTAATTGAAAAGTAAATATTTCTTCGTTCAATCTTTCTGTTTTCTAAATGTCTAATTGGGGATTTTTTCTTTATTGAAATCTCACAGTGTTATACAGTAATATTCACTGATGACCATGTTTCGAGCACAATTTATCACTGTTCATAATCATATCAAGGCACTACTCACACAACTTTCTTGCTTCATTTATATACATGAGTAAAAATTGATGATTAGACATTTGAATACAAATCAACACAAGGCTTGCATGAAACAGAATGGAAGATAAAGTACATTCGGAAATAATAATATTAGTGTTATCAATGAAATACACCAAAATGGGAGAGAGAGAGAGATTGATTACTGAATCCTGCCTGGTTCATCGAGTCTACACCCAACCTATGCAATAGAAGTGACTCAACGCAAATACCAGAGATATGTATGGAAGATATTATTACCACCGGTCAAAATCACAGGATAATAAATAATCTTAAAATGTATTCACTTCCAATTATAACATTCTAACAAGTTATTTATTTATTTTACTATAAGAACATCTTATTTCCCATCTGGTTAATTTGATTGATAACATTAATATTATAATTTCCGAATGCACTTTATCTTGTTATATTAATTTTTTATTCAAATGTCTAATCATCAATTTCACTCATATATATAAATGAGGCAAGAAAATTGTATGAGTGATTTGATATGATTATGAGAGGGAGTAATTTGTGCTCGAAACGTGGCCATCAGTAAATATTACTGTCTAACACTGTTAGACTTTATCAAAATAAAATTTTATCCATAGTATGGTGCCCTGAAACCGGGCAACCTATTTTGTTTGGTATAGAATAGAACTAGACACCATAACACAAGTTACTAGTGTCCAATCAAAAATCTTGTCGCTCTTATCTTATTTTTCAGTCTTCCCTAAAAATCCTCTTGATTGAATTAGTATAGGTTCTAGTAAAAAGGTCGACAACTGTTTCCTAGATAAATGTAGGCAGAAAAGAAAGATGAAGTGCCTTAATCCTAATCCAAACCCTGTCTGTCTGTTTTCGACATAGAACTTTGCACCGATGTGCAGCAGTTCAAGTCGCCAAACTCCATGAAATACACAAAGCAAGAGAAGAAAGTAGAAAGAATGCATAGTAGTGACTGTAAACAGGGATATGAGACAAAATGAAGTGATAACGAAGAACAATATAATTTCACTGGAGACCATAAGTCACAAGGAGTGGATGCATCTGCGCCATTGAGAACGAAGATTTTGAGTCATATCACCAATTGTTTCTAACCATTGGTTTTTAACGTCCCGAGGACCCCAACCAGTCAGGAAGTCTACACCTTCCTACGTCACTTCTTCTTCTTTAGTTCGGCTATCTCCTACGGGAGGATGAACCGGCTTCATGAACATCTCGAATGTTTGTAAGAGAGTTGATGAAGTTTCATGGGAATTGGGTACGAGTGATGTCCCCAGCATCGCTCGGCCTTTTGTTTGAGAGTGCAGCTCTAGCCTTTACACAGCCAAGTGTGACCTACAAGGCAGTAGGAGTGGAGTAGGGAGTCCACTATCCATTGGCAGCCGGTGACTGGTTCATACGCCTTTTTGAATGGGGCCAGACATCCAGGGCATCCAATAAGCTCTTTGTCCATACGTCTGCCGGTGAACTCCAGTGAGCTTCATACGCCAGTCGTTGGAGGTTTGGAATCAGGGTTTAGCCATCTCCCCTAGACTGTCATCCAATGGACAGTCAACTCGGTGAAGAGCGCCGGGCATCCGCTTTTGCCCTCTCACTTCGGTGAAAAACACCTCCGCCACGTGACGGCAGTGAGTAGGACTTCCTCAGGAGAGGCTATGTAAGACGCACGGTCATATGGGAGCATTTCAAGAGGTGTACGGAGGGGTGGCTAGCCCGCAGCGCAAGACACCCACCCCCGACCATCCTGAGGCTTTGGAGGCTTAAACTAACTGTTGTGGATTTCATTGACTGGTGCCATGTTTTGGTTTGACCGCCGCTAGCTCTTTTCCAGTCTGGCCCTGTGCCAGCTAACATTGCTCGTCGAGGAAGGTGATGACTAGGCATACGTAACACATGTCCTAACCATCTCAGTCTATGTAACTTCACAACCTCGTCGATTGATTTCCCCTCCTTACCTAGCACTCGACCAAGGTCTAACCTCAATATTGGTCACCTTATTATACCACTTCACCCGGGAGATGAAACGCAGGCACCTATGATCAAAGACAGCTAGTCAGACTTTTCATGTCTTCCACTCTCAATGGCCAGTTCTCAGTCACAGCCATAAAGGAGGACGGAGCGGACTGCTGAACAGTACACCCACCCTTTGGTCGATATCCAGCCGGATATCACGTCTACTAATCCGAAGGAGGCGTAAACTGGTATATGGGAAACTAGCCCTCTGTATCCATGCTGAGACCTCGTCAGAGATCAACCCGTGAAGCGGTCAACGTGCTCTACCACTTCACTCCCTATTTCTAAACTAGGAGTCAGTTGAAGTCCATTCCTGTAACATCATCTTACATTTCACGACGGGAGCGAATTGCATGCCAAACATTCGTAGACTGCAGCTCAAGGTGTTCAGAAGATTCTGCATTTTGTCAGCGTCCTCGCCTAGAAGGACTATATCATCTGCATATTCTAAGTCAACGAGATTATTCCCTGGTAGCAAGTCAATCTCTGAGTCTCTGAAGTGATTTAAGGTTAAATCCATTATTACATCTATGATGAAATTGAATCGAAATGGGGATAATGGTTATCCCTGACGGACACCACTAGTCGTCACCACTTCAAATGACAACTGGCCGTAAGCCCTCACCTGGCTGCATGAGTTTGAGTAGAGTGAGTGGCTTGATCAGTGCAATGTATTTCCTCGGCATTCCGTTTACAGCCAAGCATCACTTTAGTACCTCTCGGTCGACAGAATCGAATACTGCCTTTAGGTCAACAAATAAAATGATTATTGGACCCCGGTAAGAATGTCTATGTTCTAGAATCTGTCGAAGGTTGAAGATATGATCAATACACCCTCTTCCTGGTCTAAAGCCTGTCTGGTTATCTCAATCCGAGCCCTAAACCTAACACCGATCCTAACCATAATCCTAACTTTGGTCGTAACGAGATGGGGATGAAATTTGCATCTCACTTCAATGAACAGTATTCATAGCGGTGCCTAAATAATCGTAGGTCTAGTTATTCAACGAATAGTATGCATTCAGGGTTATTGGTGCATTCGCATTCCTGGTTCTGAATACTTTAACTTGGCTAGAATAACAGTCAACATAATAGGACAATAGAATCTAGCTTATTTCTATTATTCCATGTATTATTCTTATTAAATGTGTATAACTTAAACTGTAACAACAGAAGACAAGGGCTGGCAACAGGTCGTTTTATTACGAAAATCAACACGTATTTATATATACTTTATGTACATTAATAAGGCTTATGCAAGCAGAAAAAGGCAGTCTTCTGATTGGTTGTTTCTCGGAAGTTAAGCAGACAAACAGTCTTATGATTGGTTGTTTTCGATATTTCTCGGAAAGTAGAGCCATCTATCTGCGAATCATATTTGTCCACGTTTAAGTTTTCTGTGATTGGTTGTTGAAATAGCCTTGTTCATATTTTCTCACGGCCCATATTAGTGACCTAGACATTAACGTAGATTAGTGTCAACCAATCGGCTAGCAGCCTGCTCTCACCACAAAACAAATTAACTGAAAATGCAAACGTCATTATTAAAGTTGGCATACATTTAATCGAATTGACAAGAAGTTATCGACCGGATAGCCAGAGGTAATACAGGTCAAAAAGAGTTTGATGTAAATAGTTGTAGTAGGCGAAATTATTAACAGTGTGTTAGATAATAATTAGGTGGTGAATACTCTTGAAAAATAGGTCGAAATGTGAATGGAAAGAATATTTAATGAGAAGCAAAGTGTTAATATTACTGATTTGATTTACAAAAACAGAATGAAGAGTGAGATGAGTAGCGTTCAGATAAGAACACTTATTTTGAAAAAATAACACAATGCTACAAGTGACGAAGGTAATTTACTTCGTCAACTGTAATCTTTGTTTAGGTCCTTTCAGTAGAAATTTATTATTGAAGTGTTAATTTGCAGGGATCTTATTGCTTACTGGATTGATCACGAAAAGGACATCAGTTAGAGAGATAACCAGCACTGGAGTACTTGACAGCTGTCAGTCTAGTTTCGGATTCATTGGCTCGGTCGGGTTCCAGTGGCTGGATGATCTACACGCTCGCCTCGTAACCGAGAGGTCTTGGGTTCGAACCCTGGTGGGTAAGTAGTGCTGAAGAAATTTATTTGACAAAATGAACCAGGACTGGCCTCTTCTTCCTCACAATTTGTGTAGAAAAAAGAAATGAAACATTGTGTTTCAATGCATTAGTTGAATAGTCTTATGGTTGCTTCAAAACTTAATAGTTTCTAGTCTAGAATTCATGTGGTTTTATTTGGTGGTGGCATTACTCAAGAGTTCCTTGTTGGTTAACGGAGAGGAGCTACTCCGTTCGCGTATGAATAGTTTGATAAATTCCTTGTTTGACTAAATTATTTTGATATTTACTCTCGATTGATTTTAGAGTGTAAATGTGGTTGGCTAGTTATGCTCACTTTTATTATTATTATCCGTAGTATAAAATTCTAGGTTAGGGATAAACGTCTGGACGCCACCATGTGCATCTATCTATTAGTTCATCTACTCTTCTGGAGCACGGTGCATTGGCCGTAGTCAGGAAATGCTTTCCACACGGATACGAGAACATATTCCATCCAGCAGCATGGTTTTACAAGGAAGAAAGGAAAAGTGTGTGAAGCTCTATTATAGAACACTTGATCGATATCTGTGGCTCTCTGCCAACCCTGACTATGATTTTAGGATGATCATCAGTCGAATTCATGCTAATTTGCCGGATGCGTTTTCTTCGTTATAAACTACTTAAGACAGAGGACGCACTGATCGTTGATGAATTTAAGCCGAACACTTTTGTGTACAAAAGAAGGATGTAGGATCCCTACTTCTGCCATGGCCGTAGAAATTATTGTATTATTTTATTCCTTTACGTTCCCAGTGGAATATAGGGGGCTTCAAGCTAGAACTTCGAAGTCTCGGTAGCAGTGATGTTTATTTTTACGGGATGGGGTTGCTAGTCTCATGCTCAACCTTCCCTCTTTACTGGTCTTATTACCGGCTTAGTGAGGTAAAGGAGTGAGTCCGTTCGCCTGGGATTAAACCCCGTACCACATGAGGCGTGGTTGACGAGCATCCTACCTCTATGCCATGGAGAGACAAACATTTATGGCAAAGTTCAACAATAGCATCCCAGGAGTGCGAACGCATGAGTGACCTTCAGCTAACCAATCATAAAAGTGAGGAATGTTTGCTCAAAACATAATGTATATTGACAAGAAAATGCTTGAAAACGTATTAAACAGGTTATCTTTCCCTAACGTGGCTTAAAAATACGTCCTAGTTATAACAAGGAGTATCAGTTGCGAAGTTAGACTAGTTTCTGTACGTGAGTATTCACCGAGATGACTACAGATAAACTGTTTTTGTGAATCGTTTATCTCTTTCATCCTGCTCGCATTTTTCCAAAAAAGCCCTCGGTTGAACTGTTACGGTTTCCAGCAAGAGGACAGATGACTACTTACCAGGAAAACGTGGATAATAAAAAATTAAAATAAATGACATCAAGTATAAGTCTATCCCTAATCGTAACCATAAGCTTAATCCTGACCCTAACACTAAACCTAACCTTAATCATAACTCTTATTCAAACCGTAATTCTAACCCTAATGCTAATTATATCCCTACTCCTAACCCCAACCCCAATACTTACGTTAACCCTAATCCTCACCCTAACGAGCTATTGACCCATTGTCCAAACAGTACTTAAAAACGTGATCTGGACGAAGTTTGCTCCTAAGTTGGTGAATAGCGTTGATATTTCAGCTGTGATAGGGACAGATGCTGTTGGCCAACGACAAACATGCGTATAAGATCATTGGAGCGTTCACACTCCTGGGACGCTATTGTTGAACTTCGTCACATTTGTCTTGTATAATTTTCTTTAATTTTATTTGGGTAATCTATTTACCTTTCTCTTATTACTACGATTATTATTATTATCACTATTCTTACTTCAAACTGTTACCACTTGTCGTTCTAAATCAAAAAGTTTTTGGCAATGTTGAGTTCTACCTTTGCATGGAGGATTTAATCATGAGCTGACATCAGTTAGTGAACCACTGGAAAACCTGGGAGTACTGGACAGCTGTTTCGTCCTAGTTTGAGACTCTTCAGCAGTACGCACCCACCGGGATTCAAACCCAGGACCTTCTGGTTACAAGGTGAGCTCGTAGACCATTGAGCCACTGGGACCCTATCCAATGGTCCTTGAATTCTAACTTCTGCCAGTTCACGACATAGCGCGACCAATTCGCAATGTCTTCTTCGATGAGTTACTGCTTCATCTTCAACCTGCTGTACCCTACTGGTCACGGCTTCCCACTAGAACCCCAGGTTAACTGCCTGAATCCCTACAAAACCAATACTTGAGAATTCTACCTTATCAAATTTCTCACCATATGTTGCGTAACGTTTTACATTTGCCTACTAAGCCTATAATTGTGCACCCCCTCCCAACATCTATACACCCTATATATTATTCTATATATGACATTAATTGTTCTACCACTTGACATTCAACTATGATTATAATCGAAAACATTTTGATTGCACTTCATACTACTATTAATACTATTTTATGCATTCATACCTATGATTCAATTCCCTAACTGGATATAATTTCTTAAAAACCATATATATATATATATATATATATACGATTGTACAGCTTGATAATAAATTCATTAATAAGACTCTCTATGATGCATATTTTGTTCTTAATGATATATATCCACCTGCATATATATATATATTGTGGGGGCTCTGATGCATCACATATTCCACTATTCTGAAGGACATGTTAGTTGTTATGCCGCGAATACAATACAATACGCTTTCATCTATCGAATCATAATCCTCCTTGTATAAGGAATGACTGCTATCTGATAAATAACTTAGTACACGTCACTGATTTTAACTTTGGATATTATTCATATTGTGTTTGTGTAATTCCCCTTTTAGGTTTGTACAGTGGTGTTTGGGCGACAATTATGCGAGATTGTCCTTATTCCGGTTTGTATCTAGCTGCATATACTAGTCTACGTCAGTATACAGGTCTTTATTCCCCATTCCAGAAAAATATTGGTATGTCCTGAAAAAAACAATTACTAGGTATATTGTTGTATAGTCATTTTAGGCGTGTAATTTATATGAAGTCATGTTTAAACTTTTGTGTGTAGAGCAGTTGTTTTTAAAAAATTCCTGTATCACTATTTTTGTGTGAATGTCATAATTTTATGTATCCCATGCGTTATAACCGTAGTTTTTTGTTATTCGGCTAGGCTATGTGTCAAACATATATCCATATATAATATAAGGCAGCAGAGTACATTAGAAACTGAACTGTATACAAGCTGATGGTGGTCGTCATATGCCATGTTTGATTCCTGACCGATAGCTGCTTCTTCGACGTGGTGGTCGGACTTGCATATCACAATGACCCAACAAGCTACACTGGCTGGAACTATTGTTCCTACAGGTCCTACCATGCCAGGAAGGTTGTTAGGATAGCGATTAGATTAGTATATGGATTTTTTTACACCACGCTGGGCGAAGTCGTACTGCTGGAAACAGGGATGTAACAGCAGTGAGGTGATTCCCTCATATGACCAGCATGTCAGTCAGTTACACTGTCTCTCCACTCTGGAGAGAGGGGATTAGAAAAGGTCGACCCCAACAATTGTACATCCCGACTTACCCTACGGTGTTCCGTAACCGGTGGTAAGTTTACTAATACGGAACCAAACTAAGAAACCAGTTCATACAGGCCGTGTGTGACCAGCCTCAAGCAATTATCACCTGGGCTCTGTTGTCACGTAACACTAACCCCCTTTCTGCTTCAAGTACTCGAAGACTCAATCAACTTCTATGTTGTGGGCAGCCGGGAAGTAACAACCGCCCACACACTTCCAAGATCATACGAAGCCTTCCTGAGATCATTCTCCTGATATGTTTGACTATAGTTCTGGGTGAGAGCCGCGTAGTAAAATGTTAGTTTCCCAGGTTGTGTGTGTGGTGTAAGTCCTAAGGGATTGCAGTAATGCAGGTGCAGGATGCATTTCATAATATATAATTCCATGTTGAAAATGAGGCAAAGTTACACTATCACGACCTATGGAATGCGAATGCTCACGATGGACCGACCTTAAGCCGAACAACCAGATAAACCAGTGGTCTGATGATATTAGATGGCTGAAGGCAATCGGCAGGAACACACTTAAACAAGATATTTTTTCCGTAAAGTGACTTAAAAATATATCCCAATTATAATGAGGAGGAGTATCAGTTTTTAGGTTCAATCAGTTACTGTACATTTATTCATCGAGATGACAAAAGATGAGTTGTTTTTGTGATCTGTGTATTTATCCCTCTTGCCCTGTTCTTCAGTCTCCCCAAGAGACGTCGATTGAATTAGGATTGGTTCTAGTAAAGGGATCGACGACTATTTACTACAATTTGTTTCTTTTTATGAATTTAGACAAAGCAATAAGAAGAAGACGTAATTTGTCTGAATCATCTGTGTAATGTTGTATTTGTGCAACACATTTCTAACAATCTGATCACAGACGGACTTGTCATAGGAATGCATATATGAAATTAATAAAGAGTTAAGAGGTGAGAAAACAGACTTAGGTCAAGTTAAGAGGACATATTGAAGGTCAAAATGACAATGAAAATGACTAAACGAAAGAAGGGAGGTAATATAGTACATCTGCTCTGGCATCGTCAAAGCAAAGTTTACCAACAAGGAAGGTTTAATGTGATGACGAATTGTTTTTGAACGCATAAAGGTGGTTTAAACTTCCTAATTGCCAGTTAGGGCTTCTACAAGCTTTAAGATACTGCACAAACAGGTTTTATGGGTAGGTTTAACAGATGTGTAAACATAATTTTATATCCTGTCTCTAGAATATGCTTCTCTGTAGGAGAGCTAGGTAGACCGTTCTCAGCATTAATTGGTTCTGGGGATTCTATTTGCTTCTGAAACCATTTAGGAACATACTTTTAGGCCCTTACTTGGAGAGATCGACGAGTCCTCCCTTTTATGTATGTGCGTTCACACGTACATTCAGATTGGCTAATACACTAACCCTTAATGTAACCCTAATGAGGTATCAACACATTATCCAAACAGTACTTAGAAACGAGATCGAAATGAAATTTGCAGCTCAATTTCTTCACAGTGGCGTTATAACAATGGTAGATCCCGTTATCCAACGAACAGTATGCGTTCAAGGTCATTGGTGCGTTCGCACTTCTGGATCGTTATACTTTAACTTGACCGAGGATAGATTTCTAGCTGCATTGTCTTATCAACAATTAAATGGAGTATTTTGAGCGTTTTCTTATCAGCTAGATTGTCGGCGGTAGTTTAACAGCAGAACGTACAGCGATGGTAAAATATTAAAAAAAACTTTAAATTGAAACTCTTCAGTTTGTAAAAAGTGTTTATATTCTGACTTTTTTGTCTTTATTTCATGGTTTCTATTGGTTAAACAATTTTCTTCATTTCTCCTATTTTGAATTTGATCCTGTCACTCCACTATTCAAGATTATTACAGAAGACATTACCGAAATATACTACTTATATATCCTTGCTGGTATATATATTGTGACATAACGAAAAAATTTATTCTCAATTTCATGATTTTAAATGTTTTAAACAACTAACTGACTAATTTGATGGACTCGCAGTGTAATGCGGGATGAGCATTTCATCCTACTTGGGACTCGTCACATGAATGTATCTGCGTTCTCTAGTTAGTGCGTGATGGTGTTCCCACTAAAACTCGAACCCAGGAGCCGTCGTTTCAAACTGCAAAGCGTTATTCACTAGACCACTTGCACCATGAGAGCCACCTCTTGGGCTACGAGTCTTACTGGTGATTTAAGTCAGTTTAGAGCGGTGCAAGGAAGAAATGAGCATCCTGGACTCCACTGCTCGTCACTATCCACCAAATTACTTGAAGTTAAAATCCTCAGGCATCATCAAAGTATCTGCACATGTCAACCTGAGACACTCAACACTTCGGCCCAATCAACCAAAGGGAAAATCTGAATATGAATTAAAACTGACTGACTTGTTACTGTTTTCTTCTTGATGGTAACTTAAAAAACTTGAATATTTCAGCCTTTTCCTTCAGTTTTTTTCCTTTGGTATTGAAGAAGTCATTGTCAAGCAGAACGACGAATCAATTACTAAAACTCTGACATACATTTCAGATGAAAATCAAACTGAAGCGGAACAGCTTGTATTTTGAAGCTAGTTTTTTTATGCTGTTTTGTATGGACAAGATTATTTTAACTGGGAAATTTAATGCTTCGTAAAACCTAGTAAGATTAAGTTGACCTCGCGTCGTACTCCCACCTTTGTGAAACTGTGTGTATATGTATTTTTGTCGAACAGAGTTATTCGTATAATCATTGATCCGTCTCTATCTCTCAGTATCTTCGTATCTAAATGTTTTAGGGAGGTACTGATGGATAATAGTGGTATTTGGTATTCAGTTAAGGTGACTCAACTATGTCGTATAGTCTACTTGGTCATGTCAGGCTACAATATGTAAACTTTTTGATCACTTTCCATCAGTTTCTCAGTTTGCTGGGATTTGATTTGTTTCAATATCAATCATGATGAATTGATATCAGTTGGAGAACCAATGAAAGCCAGGACTTGACGAAATGCAAAGTCTTCTAAACACCTTGAGCAGCAATCTACGAATGTTTGGCATGCGATTCGCTCCCGCCAAATGCAAGATGATGTTACAGGACTGGACTACATCGACGCCTAGTTTAAAAATAGGAAGTGAAGTGGTAGAACACGTTGACCGCTTCACTTATTTGGGAAGTACCATCAGCCAGTGCCAACGGGCTGATCTCTGACGAAATCTCAGCACGAATACAAGGGGCTCGTTTCGCATTTGTTAGTTTACGCCGACTCTGGCGTAGACGAGATGTTCGACTATCGACCAAAGGGCGGGTGTACTGCTCATCAGTCCGCTCCGTCCTCCTTTATGGCTGCTGTGAGACCTGGCCACTGAGAGTGGAAGACATGAAAAGACTAGCTGTCTTTGATCATAGGTGCCTGCGTTCTATTTCCCGTGTAAAGTGGCATAATAAGGTGAGCAACATTGAGGTTAGGCGTAGAGTTCTAGGTAAACAGGGGAAATCAATCGACGAAGTCGTGAAGCTACAAAGACTGAGATGGTTAGGACATGTGTTACGTATGCCAAGCCATCGCCTCCCTCGACGAGCAATGTTAGCGGATATAGGGTCAGGCTGGAAAAAAGCTAGCGGCGGTCAAACAAAAACTTGGCACCAGTCAATGAAATCCACAACAGTTGGTCTAAGCCACGTAGGAAGGTGTAGACTTCCAGGCTGGGGTCCTCGGGACGGTAAAAATCTATGGTTGGAAACAATTGGTGACATGGCTCAAAACCGTTCTCAGTGGCTAGCGCAGATGCATCCACTCCTTGTGACTTATGATCTCCAATGAAACTGTTTTGTATTTCTTTATTACTCCTTTGTCTCACACCTCTGCTCACTGTTTCTATTATGCTTTTCTTGTACTTTCTTCTCTTGCTTCGCGTGCTACACGGAATGTGGCGACTTGAACTTCCGCACATTTGTGCAAAGTTCTATGTCGAAAACAGACAGACAGACAGACTTGAATATTGGACAGTCGTCTCTTTACAAGTCATCTACAGTTATACTATATAAAGAAGGGACATCTGAGAACCTACGTAGGATTCTAAATAAAGTAGGAATTAGGGTGGTGGCATTTAAACCTACAAACTTACTCAGGCAGGACAAGCTCTGTAGGTTAAAGGACCCAGCTGACCCAGTTAGACAAAATAATATAATTTACAAAATACCTTGCAATGACTGTAAGCTAAGGTTAGAATGATTCATCCCACAAAGATAAGTAATTTAGAAAAAAGCTCAGCAATTGCAATGCATGCATTAACACACAACCACACAATAGGGTGGGGGAGAGGGTTAAAATTCTAAAAAGTGATCTAGGTAGGTGAAGAGAGAGATTGATTACTGATTCCTTGTTCATCGAGTCTACACACCCAACACATACAATAGAAATGATTCATCACTCATACCCGAAATATGGATTATATACTACTACCAATCAGATCAAGTGTAAAACAATGGAACTATATAAATGAAGTTAGGAAGTCGTGTGATCACCTTGATATGATTATGAGCAGGGCAATAAATTGTGCTCGAAACGTGGTCATCGGTAAACATTACTGTATAACAACACTGTGAAACTTTATCAAAAATAAAATTTACCCATAATGGAATTACACTCTACCAGGGTGCACGAGTTTTATTCTTATATCAGTCCTCTCTTTAGCCTAGTTTGCAACTCATGGTTACTACGCACCCAGCCCACTGGGATTCAAACCTAAGACGTTCCGGTTAGAAGGCGAGCTCAGCCACTGAGACTGGACTTACTGTTGATAACATCTGTCCAACGTCTGTTTGTACACTTTCACAGAAATAATTGTTGAAAAATTCTAAAATAAAGTGGTATATTATTCTGTCTTGAAAGATATTTGCGTGTTAGATTTGAGATAATCAATCATTAGAGCAGGAAATCGTATGGGATTCTTTAATTAAAGTGTCTAATGGACAGAAGAAATGCCTTCAAAGTTATCTATCGCATTCCATCGAACCTGGCTTTTACATATAGCTGAAGCTATGGGAATTAATTAAGAGAACAATCTTAGTGTCCTTGCATACAAAAGAAGTTTGTTCTACCTTTGTCTCTCCCTTGCTCGGCCTAGGTAAATTCTAATTAAAATCCTCCCACCCTTTCTTATTCTTCATTTCCTACGTACTTTTATAAAATTGATTTAAACTCTGATTATCTGTCCACTTCACTTGCCTTTAGCATTATGTAACTTTTAAGATTTGACCTAAGTATTTATTTATTTGTTATTCTTATCGCCACCTGCACACACCTTATTATCATTATTTTATCATTATAATCATCGCTATCAATATTATTATTATTATATCCTTTAATTCCTAGAGGAACATAGGGCTTCAGCTGCGCGTCTCCACTGAGTTCGGTTTTCTGCCAACGTTTCCACCCCGCTCCAAGTCTGTCCACATGCTTTCATCTCTTCTTTCACATGACCTCCTCCAAGTCACCCTTGCATTGACGACCAACTCGCCGCTTCCCTTTCGGGTTCCACTCGAGCAATAGCCTGGCGTGTGATGTCAATTGATGGTTTGTTTTCTCAGAGTATGGCCAATCCATCTTCATTTCTTCCTGCCTATTTGTTGCACAATCGGTTCCTGCTGGGTTGGTTCGCTCATTACCAGAGATCCCTGTTTCTGATCTTTTCTGGCCAGCCATCTGATCTTGAGCACTAAGCGAAGGCAGCTGTTGATGAAGGTCTGAAGTTTGTTTGAGGTGGTCTTTATGACTCGCCAAGTCTCTGATCCGTATAGTAGCACTGACCTCACATTAGGGTTGAAAATCCGGTTCTTATATTCATTTTCATGCTGAGTGCTGTTGACCTCCACACAGACTTGAGAGTAATGAAAGCTTGTCTTGCTTTTCCGATTCTGGCTTTGATATCCTCATCAGTTCCGCCTGTAGTCGAAACGATGCTTCCCAGGTAGGTGTGCAGGTAAAGGAGGTTGTTTCTTTCAGGTTCCTCCCATTTATGCTGATTGTCGCTATTACTGACGTTCGAAACATTTAAGACTTATTATTTTATGATCCATAAAATCACCGTCATTGGTTAAAATTTTTACACATAAATCTATGTAAATAAGAATAAAGCCTGCAAAATATCTAATTGAAAACAACAATACTGTTCGCTTATATATCTTGTTCTAATGATTAATGTATGGTGCTCATTTTTTAAAATATCACTCTTCACTTTAAATTGTGTAGATTTTATTTTATACATAAACAAAATATCGTTTATTTTACTTTTTTAAAATTTCATTTAACAGATCCTACTGCTGATGATAATAATGTTAAGTCATTCTTTTATGTATCTGGATGTGCTGCACTGGCTGCCTGTTTTGCAACTACACTTACACATCCAGCTGACTTGTTACGTGTTCATCGCCAATTGCTTATCCGAGAAACATGTCATCAGCACCACCCCCACCACCAACCACACCAATCGCCAATGAATCAAAATGCCAGTTCTTATAAAAATCAAAAGACAATTGATAAACAACAATTAACCTCCTTATTTCAAATATTTCAATGTATTTATACAAAATATGGTGTTAAAGGATTATGGCAAGGTTTAAGTTTAAGACTGATTAGACGGACAATATTTGGTGTGACCTCTTGGACGTTATATGAATTTTTCACCTGAGAGACAGAGAGAGGGAGGGAGAGGTGTACAGATCGATATTTTCCTACTCGAAATGTACAGGCATACATACACACATAGATGATGCAGTGCTGTAGTTATCAACACTATGTATTTGATGCAATTAGACTATTTTTTCCAATAATTTTGTAATCTTTGTTTTTTGCGATTTATTGTGAGTTGATTCTGATTGATATAAATTTTTTTTTGGATGTAGGTTGTGTTCTCTCAGCTAGATGGTTTATTTGCGAAGCCTTTTATTGCCCTAATTACTAAGCAATGTCTTCAGCTTATACTTCAATTCAATGAAGTGAGCTTTAAGATTTCTCCACGAGTTTATTAGTCATCTCTCCTGGTGGGTGACCTTGAACGTGATTGGTTGTCTTTGTGTGTTTTCACACCCTTTAAGCTACTTGTGGTATTGGAACGGATTGTTTCCTTGACTTGAACTTTGACCCTTTTTGTGTGTGTGAGATTCCCTTCTTATCGATTGGTAAATTTTGTCTATCTCGATGTGTCTATTGATTGACAATTCACTGCAATACCAGGCTTCTAAAAATTCCCTAATATTCTTGGTGTTTCCTACGTTTAATATTTGAACGTTGTTCTAGTCGAATTGACGTCCATGGTTGTCTGTATGTAGTGATATGAGGGAGTAGTGTGGTTGTCATGTCTTTTGACGACGAAGGGGACGTCCACTTTGTCCAATGTAGTGTTTTTCGCAGTTGTAACAATTTATTCTGCAGATGATGTTGGTTTTATCTTCTTTCGTTGTTGAGTCTTTTGGTTGGCATACAGTAAGTCTGCTGAGTGAAGTGATTTTGTTGATTTGTGTGTGACGTCAATGCCTAAGGGGTCTGAAGAGTCTTGCAGTGATTCATTTCTGAGATGTTGTCTTTTATATATGGTAGGGCGGTTTTCTTTGTGCTTTCCTTCGGGACCTTCGATTCGGTAGGTTGTCTTCGGGGATAGATGTCTTTTGATGAAATTTCGTGGATATAAATTGTTTCAATTTTCAAATTCACAATTTGCAATCTACACAGTTCGAGTGGGGTTAGTTTGAACTGATAATTTGCCTCTCTGAACTGAGTTGTCAAACCGGATACACCGTTGTGATGAGGAACTCAACCTCAAACGAGAGAAATGGCTGTCCGATGTGTCCGATCTGGCAAGCCAACAAGCACTTCTACTGTAACAACAGAAGACAAGGACCAGGCAACAGATCGTTTATTTAGGAAATCACATATTTATAGATTTTCATGTACATTATGATAGATTATTGTAAGCAAACAAACACAGTCTTCTGATTGGTGATTTCTCGCTAAACGTTAATCTTTCATCTGTTTGTGATCGTTTCTTGAAGTTCAGATTATCTATCTGCAAATTGTATCCGCCTACGCAAAGTCTGCCGTGATTGGTTGTTGAGTCAGTCTTTGTTCTTATTTTTCTCATGACCAATATTGAAGATGTACACATTGACGTAAATTACTGTCTACCAATTTTGGTTGGCAGCCAGCTCTCACCACACTACTACTGGTTGAATTGAGTGGTTTTTTCCCCTTCACGTTTTCCAGTGGAATCATAGGGGGCTTCAAGCTAGTGGCTTGAAGTTTCTGTAACAGTGTTTATATTTACAGGATGGGGTTGCTAGCCTCATGCTCATCATTTCTTCTTTACCAGCATTGTTTCTGGTTGGGTGGTATGCGAATACTCAATTCAATCAATCAGTAGTAGTATTTATAGTTTGATGCAAATTTGTTTCAATTTTACTGGAAATTCACTTCGAATATACTTAACTATGACTCACCTTTTTCGGATATTGCAGTTTGAAATGCCTTTGATGATATATAAAAAATACAACACTGTAGTAGACGTCAGTGGGGTTGGAGTTAGCAGTCGTCATCACTACTAAATATAAATTCTAGTGAATTTTGATTTTATTACAGTTATTCTATTTTTGTCACTATCTTTATGGTCGTGATTGTCATTATTACTGTCAGTATTATTTTTGTGACAATAAGATTGCCCAATTCCATACCTTTTCCATATTCAATAAACACACTTCTAGCTTCGAGAATTGGTATTGTTAAAATAGTTTTTGCAAGAAATCAGATCATTCGCATTTCGTTGAGGTCCTAAAGGAAAAGGTACTCTTTCTTAGTAATGCCCGTGGTGGTTAGGCATGCGCACCACGTGACCTAGTCATCTTAGTCTATGTAACTTTATAGCCTCGTCGATTGTCTGTCTGTCTGTTTTCGACATAGAACTTTGCACAAATGTGCGGAAGTTCAAGTCGCCACATTCCGTGTAGCACGCGAAGCAAGAGAAGAAAGTACAAGAAAAGCAAATAGAAACAGTGAGCAGAGGTGTGAGACAAAGGAGTAATAAAGAAATACAAAACAGTTTCATTGGAGATCATAAGTCACAGGGAGTGGATGCATCTGCGCCACTGAGAACGATTTTGAGCCATGTCACCAATTGTTTCCAACCATAGATTTTTGCCGTCCCGAGGACCCCAGCCTGGAAGTCTACACCTTCCTACGTGGCTAAGACCAACTGTTGTGGATTTCATTGACTGATGCCAAGTTTTTGTTTGACCGCCGCTAGCTTTTTTCCAGCCTGACCCTATATCCGCTAACATTGCTCGTCGAGGGAGGCGATGGCTTGGCATACGTAACACATGTCCTAACCATCTCAGTCGATGTAGCTTCACGACTTCGTCGATTGATTTCCCCTGTTTACCTAGGACTCTACGCCTAACTTCCATGTTGCTCACCTTATTATGCCACTTTACACGGGATATAGAACGCAGGCACCTATGATTGATTTTCCCTCTTTGCCTGCCCAACACTCTACGCCTAACGTCAACATTACTTACCTTGTTAAACCACCTAACATGAGACAGGGATCGCAGACATCTATGATCGAAAGCAGTCAACCTTTTCGTGCCTTCAACTCGTATTGGCCATGTTTCAGAGCCATAGAGAAGGACGGAACGAACTGCTGAGTAGTACACACGTCCCTTGGTTGATAGCCGAATGTCACGCCTACGCCAGAGGTGGTGTTGTGGTGAGAGCAGGCTGCTAGCCGATTGGTTGGCACTAATCTACGTTAAGGTCTAGGTCACTAATATGGGCCGTGAACAAGGCTGAGTCAACAACCAATCACAGCGAAGTTAACGTGGCAAAATATGATTCGCAGATAGAGAACTCTGTTTGTCAAGGAATCCCGTAACAACCAATCAGAAGCCTGCGTTTGTCTACCTAAACAACCAATCAGATGACTGCGCTTGTCTATAATAATGTTGTCTGAAATATGTATAAATACGTGTTGATTTTCATAATAAAACGATCTGTTGCCTGGCCCTTGTCTTCTGTTGTTACATTTGGTGTCGCTGCCTACCGACAAATGAAAAGCCTATACCCTGCAGTTTTTGATGGAGACATATGGATCTTCGGGCAGGACTTCAAGGCTTCTGCGCAGTTGAGTGGCGTTCAAGATCTGTCAGCGATGGAGCTGCTACTTGAGACGCTGCTGGGAGGTCGGGCGAAAGCAGCATATGAAGGTGTGGGCCGAAGTATGGACGAATGTTCGACAGGGTCAGGCAAACAGTTTCCAAAGTGGGAAGGACCATATATGGTCACTTCGAGATGGGGTTACGCAGACACAGTCGCAATGGCGAACAATGAGAGGCGCGTGAACGTCAGCGAGCTCCAGAAATGGATACAGCGAGACAAGCCAACGATGACGCCTGCACCAAGTAGATCAAGCCGACTTCAGTCGCACGTATTTGACGGGGGGACGAGTGTGGTGAGAGCAGGCTGCTAGCCGATTGGTTGGCACTAATCTACGTTAAGGTCTAGGTCACTAATATGGGCCGTGAACAAGGCTGAGTCAACAACCAATCACAGCGAAGTTAACGTGGCAAAATATGATTCGCAGATAGAGAACTCTGTTTGTCAAGGAATCCCGAAACAACCAATCAGAAGCCTGCGTTTGTCTACCTAAACAACCAATCAGATGACTGCGCTTGTCTATAATAATGTTGTCTGAAATATGTATAAATACGTGTTGATTTTCATAATAAAACGATCTGTTGCCTGGCCCTTGTCTTCTGTTGTTACAGTGTAAGTCAGCGAAAGCAGCTCGAGCTTTTTGGATCCGTGCTGAGATTTCATCGCCAATCAGTCCGTTGGTGCTGATACAACTTCCCAAATAGGTGAAGTGGTCAACATGCTCTATCACTTCACTGCCTATCACTAAGCTAGGAGTTGACGTAGTCCAGTCCTGTAGCAGCATCTTACATTTCACAGGGGTGAATCGCATGCCAAACATACGAAGATTGCTGCTCAAAGTGTTCAGAAGACTCTGCATTTTGTCAACATCCTCCCTAACAGGACTATGTCATCTGCATATTCTAAGTCCATAAGACTATTCCCTGGTAACAAGTCGATTCCTAAGTCGTTACGTTCAGTTAGGGATACTTCCATCAGCATATCTATGATGAAGTTAAACAGAAATGGGGAAAGTGGACATCCCTGTCGGACACCACTGGTTGTTACCAATTCAGATGACAATTCCCCATAAGCCCTTACACGGCTACGTGAGTAGTTTCAATAGAGTGCCTTGATTAGTGCAATGTACTTTCTTAGCACTCCCTTCACAGTCAGACATTGCCATAGTGCCTTTCGATCCACGGAGTCAAAGGTCGCCTTCAAGTCAAGAAATATGGCAACCACATCAAAATCATCCACCTGAGCTACAAATCTTCTCTATCATATCTAAATATGGCAATTGTTGGACGCCGAAAAGTGTGTCTATGTTCTAGAATCTGTCGAAGAGTGAAGATATGATCTATGCACCCTCTACCTGGTCTAAAGCCTGCTTGATTTTCCCTTGTCTGTTCCTCCCGAGTTCTGCTTAGTCTATGCATGATTACTGAGCCTAGGATTTTAGAGACTATGTTCGTTAGGCTGATCCCCCTATGATTATCACACGAGGAC